AAAAGATGAAAAGATCGCGCCATTTAAGGCTTAAAACTACTAATCTGTCATCACTTATGGTTTCGCCGTTTTCTAATTTTTTTTTAGTACTTAAGAGCGATCTTCTCGACCTTCATTCGAAAAAATTCTATCTTATAAATTAGTGAATCTTTCATATGCGAATTAAGGTCGAAGAGAAGGGCCTCCTCTGATAACACTGGTATGAAAAATATTTAAGGGAAAATTTCCATATCTTGTTTATGAACTGACTTAATACATCTTGTATCTTGTAGCAAGAGAGAATTCCGTAAGCTATATTATTGCAGTCGCAGCGCTCTCGATAAAATTTGTGACATTTACACCTTCGATCGCTGTCCAACGAGTGGTCTGGCCAAAAAAAATCAATTTGGCTTGTGCCTACACAAAAAAAAAGAGAAGTGGAGAAGAACAACTATTCGCCGAAGTGGAGGTGTCTATGTCGGTAGCCACCGATGGTAACACTGCAGAGTGAATAGCTGTTTTAGCATCTACTAAAAGAATAAGATAATATAGCACAAAAAGATGATTTCAACAAATTTATTCCTGCGACGATTACAATATTGTCTGGCGGAAATCCCGCACGAAAATGCTGGGAGGTGAATAGCAAAGAATATTCGAAGTTTGATTGACAAATTAGAGCATGCCTTTAACGCCATTCACTATTTTAGTATATATTTAGTCAAATCTACCCTGTATTAGGGAGTTTTAAGAAATATAATTCACTGGCATCAGTGAGAAATTAATTCCTCCCACAGATGATGGTAAATGCAAACCATAGACGCACAATAAGCGTGGCCGTACGCGTGGCCGTACGCGTGGCCAGACTTTTAGTCCAATTGTCAGGGCTGAGATATAGAAAAATTGTGACTTTCAAGAGGACAAAGATCACTGTAGTTGTATCTGGGGTTCTATCCAGTATCGCTGCTTTATGCTAAAATTTAGATTACGTGTAACGTTTTGGTGTGGATATATAGTATACCATACTGCTTAGTTCTTTCTATCGCCTCGCACACAAAGATTTTCCGCGCTCTCAATCGTCATCACCCTCAAGTACAAGATCATGTTCAACAACAACCGAGCCAAACAAATTCTCTGAACACTGCGTGATACAGAAAGGCAGTGTACAGTGCACTGTAGGTAGATATTGTGCTCATCTACACTAAGAAATCTTTAGCGTCCCCGATTATTAGCAGAGGAAGTGCTTTTTTTAAATTTTTTTTTAACTCGACGTTAGACTCGTTTCTTTACTGCTGGAAGATTAGTGAAATAACACAAGTTGTGAAACAGACAATCAGAGAAGCACTTTTCTGTGCATGAGGTTTGAAATAATTTTATGTGATTGCACGAGAAGCAACAGTGCTTTAAAAATTATAGTGTAATTAATTGAACCACACTGCTAACAACTGAAGAAAAGTTAGAAAACACCTTTTCTTAGGAACTTTATTAGAGGAACATCATCTCATCAACAGTTTTGGGTAATAAGCATTTTGAGGTGATAAACACCCTCCTTCCTTCATTATCAAAGATAGTTTGCTGAAAAAACATTTTTCTCGGGAAAGGAATATTTTTATCGTGCATGATGATTTAAAATAAAAATTTTAGATCGATGGAGGGGCCTTCTTGAGTATGGAAACGGAAGGATATGTCAAAGCACTGCCTGTTGCAAAGAAATTGTTAAGGAGTTACGTTTAATAAAGGGGAATTTCACGAGCTCCCGCACAATGAGAAATTGACATGTCTTGTGACAAAGTAGACATTCGTAATCACAATTTTAATGAGTGAACGTTACTGAGGAAGATTTTGCGTAAATGTTATTAAGAAAATGTAGTTTAGGTGATCTAGCCTGGCAGGTGCTGTGTAGAAAAAACAAAATATCTCGTTATATACAGTTACAAATAATCGTGAGAATAAACGAAACCAATGCTTATTAAGTAGCTAAGGGATGGGGAATATGATTATTTTGATGAAAGTAAATTTTAGGTGATTAAGGGTAGGAAAGGGCTCTCAAGACTATTTGTTTCCATTGCAATCACATTTGACCTGAGGGGAAAAAAAACAGTGAAGACTAATGGCAAAAACAAATCTAACCGGTGGTAAAGGTAGAGCACAGACTTAATTTGTTGATCTTCAGTGCCCCCCTTCTTTGGAAGATGGGAAATAGCAGTAGGCTTAGTTCACTTTAACTCGACGTTAAATCCATTTCTTAACTGCTGGAAGATTAGTGAAGTCCGATATGCTATTGGAAAGTCTGTAAACTTCTCACCTGCGCCTCGGGGTTCACAACCTTTTCTCGGGTTCTCCCAAAATCCCACGTGATTTATCAGCGGTAAACCAATAGAAAGTGCGGTTTACTCATCAGTCGAACTCACACATTTAATCCTCTCAGTAATATAAATGCACAGGATGAAATTTCAAAGAGTAATTTAGAAAGCTTTTAGAGGTATTTTTCATTACGATAAAACAATTTCCATTCTTTTCCCCCGCCGATTAAAAGAAAGCGCTTAGCGTTTATGCCATATTGCCGCACGAGCTGGTAAAATAGTTCAAGGGAGTTGTTCGAGGTATTTGTGTTAGTTTAAAAGAAATTATTTGTTTTCTAAAGGAAAGCGCCTGGTGTTGACGCCATATCGCCAAGCAAGCTGGTTCAGTTTTAGCCTCAAATTTCTTTGGTTATTTGTCCGATATTTCTACAAATATATATGTAAAGATAGATACAGATCCTTTCATCTGTATAAAAACAGTGGATTGAAAATGAAAAAGGGTAAAAATGGTAAAAACTGACATCTAACGAAAAAGAAATAAATAGTTTAGTAAGGCCGGATGTTTTCAAAATGAGGCCACGTGTTAAGGTCTAACCGTTGCAAGACAATGATTTCTCGGTCTCTTTAACTTTCGAGGCGCCCCAAACCACTTGTTTCCTCCAAAATCCGCCCATTACGCACTCTAAGTCAATAATGTCTGGGTCGCTCTAGTTATTCTGCGGCTCAGTACTTTGAATAGTTTTATAGCTGGCAGCGCCCGTGGGCAAGATGAAGAGAATCCTGTGTTCTGATTGGCTACCCGAGTGGGCAAGATAGGACCATCTTGCCCACTCTGGACCGCCCACTTTGATCCAGCGCAAGAGAAAAAAGTTTGTAGAGCGCACTTAAAAAAGTTCGTAACTTCTGGACAATGTCGGCACCGAAATCGCAAGAAGCGACAGAAGCAGTTAAAACAGAGAAAAAATTAAACGAGCCTCCTAGGTACTGAAATTTCACTTTACTACTCGAGATATAAAATGCTAATTGGGGCCCACTCTTGACTGGCTATTTGTTAAGCTGCAGTCGTTACTCGGAATAATCAAAGAAAATTTGATAGAAAATATCTGGAAATAGTAAGAACTCCTGTACAGGAATTAAAAAAAAAATTTCCGCATCTTTTTAGCATTGACATCACTCGTTTCGCGTGTCTTATAGCTATTTTAACCCCCCCCCCCCCCACGCCAATGAATGAATGAATGATATAAGGGGATATAACGTTGAGTTGAGGTGGCTCGTACCAGTTTCCTCGCGCGGAGAACAGGTCACTCTTGCATGACGCGGGCGAGAGAAACGTGCGAAAGAAGCGCGAGATCAAAAGATGAAAATTCAAAACAAAGATGGCGGCGCGTGGAATTTTTTTCTACTTTTGTGAGAAGTTTACCTAAGAGCTTGTATTTGATGTGTTGAGCGGCCACTGTGAATGCAGGAGATAGAAACTAAGATAACGAACACGATTTTCGGAGAAGTAAAGGTTGCTTCACTTCACATTTAAAAGAAATATTCAAACGATATGAAATCTTGCGACGGCGAAAAAAGAAGAACTCAAGTGAAGGATAATCTACCTGAAGTGGAAGAAGACTTTGAAACTTCAAGGAAAATAATATGATATAGCCAGAATTCATATGTAGGATTTTTAAGATGAGCTCGGGAGGCTGTCTTTGACGGCTGTTTAATGATTTTCTTAGCAGTAAACGTCTGTAAATATCAGATTGTAGGCGCTCGCGCAAGCACACGCAATTGTCAGCGGTAGCTAAAACAGATCATGAGCAAATGTCGATCTTATAGAATCCAGATTTTTAAATGGGCGAGAACGCGCGTGGAAATTGCTAAACTCACGAAAGCTATTGCATGAAAACAAGTCCGGTGACCCCTTCTTTTTATTGTTCCAATATGATACTAACGTCGAAAGGAATTATCAAAAGAAAAAAAACTAGAAAATTCTACGGAAGGAAATTTGCGATGTGTAAAAATTTCTCTTTTTGTAGATTTTCTGAAATTCCGCTCCGTAGAATTTGTTAAAAATCTTTGTGTATTTTCCTTTTCAAGTGCCAAAAGCAATCACTGAAAAAAATCAGGGGGTCACCGGGCTAGTTTTCGAATTATTTAAGCCACAAGCTAAAAAATGCGTCTGAATAAGCCTATGAAAGGGTTGCCATAGAAACTGCTAGTGACGAAATGACACTTATTTTTGGATAACCAATGATTATGTAATTCAGCCCCGTAAAAGTGTTCAACTGGCCTTGGTCAGTCTTTCTGTTGCATTCTTTCAAAGTTACAAACCATCAAAAAGATGAAAACCGCTACGAGCCACCTTAAGAACCTTTTGTTTAATTTCAACTTGCTAAGACTGATAATGATTAGTGTTTACGCTTCATACAAATCATAGAGAGAATCGATTAGCACCCAGTCAACTAAAGTTTATCCTTAAGGGATTTTTTTATCGCACTGTAAAAAGAATTAGAAAATTTCTCTACATTTTGCTCTTATTTCTATTTCTTACGTTAGACACCTGACAGGTTCACAAAAGACAATTTTCTGACGCCTGCTAAATGAAGAAAAGGTGGTGAGGAAGTCTTTTGTTATATGTCAAGAAAGTCCAGTTTTAGCTATCGTGGCTGGCTGTGTGCTTTTCTCGTTGCAATCACAGATAACCTGCAAGGGAAAGGAGTCGAATACAGAATAATGTCGACAACATATTTCACAAGAGGTGGAACAGTGACGACAACATTGGAACTGATATGTTCCTCGTCAAGCCCTTTGGCGGGCTGGCCTCAACCAAAAATAGTTTCTTTCGCAACAGTTAACATTCTCCTCTCCGTGACAGCGTTTCTTGGAAATTCTGTCATCCTAGTCGCCCTTCACAAGGAATCTTCCCTTCATCGACCGTCCAAACTCTTGTATCGATGCCTGGCAACAACTGATCTTTTGGTTGGTCTTGTTTGCCAGCCTCTCCATGCTACTTTGTTTATATCCTGGCTTCACAAACACAGGAGTCTGTGTCAATACGCATTTATCGCCGACATCCTAACAACCATCGCATTGGGTTTAGTGTCTTTGCTGACGATGGCGGCCATAAGCGTGGACAGACTTCTCGCCCTGTTGTTGGGGCTGAGATACAAACAAATTGTAACTTTGAAGCGCACGTATATAATTGTGGCTATCTTTTGGTTGTTTTCTCTTGTAGCTGTCTTCTTATATCCTATATTTGATTACCGCACATTTTATTTGAGCACCGGCATAGTAATATCACTTTGTCTGATTATTTCTGTGGTCTCGTACACCATGATTTTTTGCACTCTCAGGCATCATCAGACTCAAGTTCACGATCATGTTCAACAATCGCCGAGCCAACCAAATGCACTAATCATGGCGCGATACAGAAAGGCGGTGCACAGTGCACTGTGGGTGCAGTTAGCATTAGTTGTTTGTGTTGCGCCATCCTTTATAGTGGCAATTGTGATCGCTCTTGATGAAACATACTCATCACAATTAAGTGTCCTAAGAATGATAACATTTGGCTTATTTCACTTTAACTCGACGTTAAATCCGTTTCTCTACTGCTGGAAGATTAGTGAAGTGAGACAAGTAGTAAAGCAGACAATCAGACACCCACCTTGCTGTCCATGGAGTTAGATCCTTCGTTGTCTTAACCCGATTCATTGCCAGCCATAGAGAACGCTTTTAGGTATGTTATTGGATGGGGAGAAAGAACAAACTTAAATTGGATGTTTGCATATACTCTATAACACTTATGAATTTTAGAGATGTAAAATATTACTTATGAACAATTTGTAAATGAGTGTATAGAATGAAACGGACCATTACCAGTTCTTATAGTCAGAGTACTCTTCGCTGAATCTTTTTCCAAAATTGAAAATAGCGACTTGTCGTTTTCGCTCAGCTATAAATGATTTCTACCTGAGAATAGGGAGTTTCAAATAAGTTGTAAACTAACAATACTACCATAGATGTAGGTGGGTTTGGCTCTTGATGCAAATTTAACATTTCGGAAATGCAAACCAAAAGGAATGGAAATACTGATAAACTTTTTCATTCCAAAATTTTATTGAAATTTTTTGAAGTACGTTGGCATCTGTAACCAAAATTTAAATTTCACAGTAATCTAATGCATTTGGATATTGTCTTGAATCAAATTTTTTCCAAACCAAGTAAAGTCGCCATGTTGAACTTTTTATTTTCAGAAGATTTTAATGGCTGATAATGGTTGAAGTGTCCACTTCACATAGATAATGTGGACACTTGATTAGCACACTTTCAATGGAAACTTATTTAGGTAGAGCGGGGTTGTTTTCGCCCTTTGAAATAACGATACCACAGATGTCTCCCTATTTGCCTCTCGTCGCTATTTCACACCTGAGGCAACTACGAAGTTTGACAGAAAAATTGCTTTTTCGACACAAAAGACAGTTTAGCAATTTATACAAGAAAAATATTTAACCTAAATTTCAAAAAACAAAATGGATTGATCTGAAAGAAAACTCCGTAACAACCGGTGAAGATCAATTTTTTTTCATGTCCTTTGATAAACTCAATTAATTAACATATGTAAGAGACAAAACACCTTCAAATGTTTATGAGCATCATGTTTAAAGAGAAACACGATATTATATGAAAAATTTTGTCGACTCTTGAAAATATTATATATGTCTAACAGTTTGACGTGGTGTATGTTTAAGTTGTCTTCAAGTTTTATTGATTCTATATCACCACTTCTGAGCGATTAAATGTTACAATTTTCGCCTCGTTTTTCTTTTAACGTCATTTTTACAAAGCTTTTTTGATATTTATAATGCGGAAGAATTATTTTCCATGAAGTTATCTTGTTTAACTATAGAGCTTAAGTCTCTATACTGACCCATCAAAGAGGATTAGACGCAAATTTTCTGGGAGAAACTCATAGACAAAATTATTCATACAACTGATATCGTATTTCTCTTCAAGTTTTATTGATTCAATGCCTACCACTTCCGAGCGATTAACTGTTTCTAATTTTCACTTTTTTCTTTCAAGTGTCCTTTTGTCAAAACTTTATTGAATTTCTTAATTAACCACTATGCAGAGAAAGATTTTTTCCTCCATATGACTGGCCCAAGGGTATGGCAGATAGCTGAATATACTGCTTCTTTGCCGGGCTCTCGAAAGACTGACCAAAGAGAGTTCCTTATATCGTCAAACAAAATTTAAGCCAGCCGATGTCTTTCTGTTTGCCAAGGGAAATAAACCTCAGTGCTAATTTGAATAAACAGCTACAACGAAAACTGAAAAATATAGAATTACGGCGACAACAAATTTCACAAGTGGTGGAACACAGATCAAAAGAATTCTAGAACTACTATGCTACCCCTCTTTGGTGGGCTTTAACAACTTGGATAGGCAATTCCTTTCTCAGCGGTCAACAGTAAAGGTAATGTATCCACGAGTTGTTCACAGTTTCCTCTGACTTCCCTGTTGGGAGATGACCAACAGCCAGGGGATTAGAAAGGTTACCATGTTCACAGTTTTCTTTGAAACTTAAGGTGGGAGAGAAGGGTCTCCTAAGATCGCCGTGGTATAAAAAATATTCAAGGTGAAGTTTCCACATTCTGTCTGTGAACTGACTAAATACATCTTGCAACTTGAAGCAAGAGAGAGTTCCGTGAGCTTTATTAGTGTACTCGCAGCGCGCTAGACAAAACCTGAGAAACTTACACCTTCGATCGCTGTGCAGGCCGGTGGTCTAGCGAAAACTCAATTTTGGCTTTTGGCGACGCGAATAAAGAGAATTGGAGGACAACCAAAGTATTTTTGAAACAAGTGTCCTAAACCCTTTTTATGGGCAGAAAATGATAGAGAATTTTTCTTCAAAAGGAAGTCGAGGAGATCGCTCTTAGCTAGAGCGGCAATTACAGGTAACAACTATTCACCGAAGTGGAGGTGGCCTCTGATGATAGCGTTGACTGAATAAGGATTTTATTATATAATAAAACAACCTGGATCGACAATTCCTTTCTCAGCGGTCAACATTAAAGGTATGGTAACAACGAGTTGTTCACAGTTTCCTTTGATTTCTCTATTGAGAGATGACCAAGAGTCAGGGGATTAGAGAGGTTACTATGTTTACAGTTTTGTTTGAAACTTAAGGTCGAAGAGAAAGGTCTCCTCCGATCACCTTGATATGAAAGAAATATTCTAGGTGAAGTTTCCATATTTTGTCCGTGAACTGACTAAATACATTTTGTAACTTGAAGCAAGAGAGAATTCCTGGAGTTATATCTGTGAAATTTACACCTTTGATCGCTCTACTGACAACTTGTGACTTTAAAGAGGACATATATCATTGTAGCTCTAGTTTGAGTTCTATCAAGTGTCGCTAATTCATGGTACAATTTAGATTACCGTGCGGGTATATAGGTATACTATTCTGCTTAGGTATTTCTATCGCCTCGAACAAAAACATTTTCCGCGCTCTTAGTCGTCATGAAGCTCAAGTACAAGATCGTGTTCAACAATAGCAGAGCCAAACAAATGCTCTGAACATGGCGCGATACAAAAAGGCAGTGCACAGTGCACTTTTGGTACAGGTAGCAGTAGTTGTTTGTTATATACCACGTTTTATGGTGGATATTGTGCTCATCTACACTAAGATGAGCACAAATTATTAGTAGAGGAACTGCTTTCTTTTTAATTTTCTTGAACTCTACGTTAAACCCGTTTCTTTACCCGCCGGAAGATTAGTGAAATAAGACAAGCGGTGAAACAGACAATCGGAGAAGCACTCTGCTGCGTATGAGGTTGGAAATGATTTTATGTGATTGCACAAGAAGCTGTCATGCTTTAAAAGTCTGTGTACTTAATTGAATCACAGTGATAACAACTGAGGAAAAGTCGAGACATGGAATGCTAATTGCGGCCCACGTTTGATTGCCTAGTAGTTAAGCTGAGGTCGAAATAATTAAACATTTGCCTCTTATTTCTATTTCATCCGTTAGGCACCCGACCAGTTCACAACAGACAGTTTTCTGACGCCTGCTAAATGAGGAAAAGGTGACGAAGAAGTCTTTTGGATTATTGTCAAGGAAGTCCGGTTTCAGCAATCGTGGCTGGGTGTGTGCCTTTTAGACAAAATATTTCCCGTTGCAATTACGGATAACCTGCAGGAAAAAGGAAACGAATACAGAATAACGTCGACAACAAACCTCACAAGAGGTGGAATGCAGACGAATACATTGGACCTGATATGCTCCCCCTCAAGCCCTTTGGTGGACTGGCCTCAATCAAAAATAGTTTCTTTCGTAGCAGTCAACATTCTCCTCTCCATAACAACGTTTCTCGAAAATTTACTCATCCTTGTCGCACTTCACAAAGAATCTTCCCTTCATCGACCGTCCAAACTTTTGTATTGCAGTTTGGCGACAACTGATCTGCTGGTTGGTCTTGTTTGCCAGCCTCTCCAAGCTACTTATATGATATCCTTGGTTCACGAACACTGGGGTCTTTGTCAATACGCATATGCCGCAGCCTACATAACAAGCATAGCGTTATGTGGAGTTTCTTTGCTGACGATGGCGGCCATAAGCGGGGACAGACTTCTCGCCCTGTTGTTGGGGCTGAGATATAAACAAGTTGTAACCCTAAAGCGCACTTATATCATTGTAGCTACCTTTTGGGTTTTTTCTCTTTTCACGGCCTCCCTTACCATATTTGTTTCGAACACCTTGTACATGTATTTGTTCACCGGCATAGGCATACCACTTTGCCTGACTATTTCACTGGCCTCGTACACAAAGATTTTTTACACTCTCAGGTATCATCAGAGTCAAGTACATGATCATGTTCAACAACAGCCGAACCAACCAAATGCACTAGTCATGGCGCGATTCAGAAGGGCAGTTTACAATGCACTGTGGGTGCAGTTTGCGTTAGTTGTTTGTTATGCACCTTTTTGTATGGTGTCAATGGTGATCGCTTTTAGTAAAACATATTCATTACACTTTATTGCCCTAAGAACTTTAACATTTGTCTTAGTTTACTTTAATTCAACGTTAAATCCATTTCTTTATTGCTGGAAGATTAGGGAAGTAAGACAAGCAGTGTTGCAGACATTCAGACAAGCACTTTGCTGTCCACGGAGTTAAATCGCTCCATGATAAGAAGAAATGAGAAACTTAATTCATATGCTCATTTACGCATTGTTCACAAGAGTTAAAGACTAGGTACAAACATCCGACGGACCCGGCATTACCTGTTCTTAAAGTCAGAGTCCTTTTCAGAGTAAATTTCAACCTGAGAAGGAGTTTCAAATAAGTTGTAAAATAACAGTAATACCACAGGTGTCTGTGTGTTTGACTCTATGCTAATTTATTCCTAAATTAACTTAACTGATTAGACAAATACGTTGTGTTGTACAGTAGACTCCCGCATTTAAGCTAAGGGTTTAAGGGAAAAAAAAACTACATCTAGCTGTCACGAATTGTTTTTCCTTATGAATAGCCTACTTTTATTGTCTGAAATAAAATATATAGGATGTAAATATGAACACTAACAAGAGAAGGAATTGTCACGTTTGTTACTTAAAAGCCATTTTGCGGCCAAGAAGAAATAGTGCAGGCAGAGAATGAACTAGTAAAAATGGT